TAGTTCTGGACGCTGGCGCCCAAGTCTCAAGCGCCCCCGCCTCACCTTATTTTTTTTACCCAATTCTAGGGGCTGGCGCCCGAGTCTCCAGCGCCCCCGCCTCACCCTCGTTTTTTTTTAAATTGACGAACCCTCAGGCCCCTCTTCCACCTTATCTCTTCTTCTTCCCTCCTCCACACCACACCCCCCGAACCAGAGAAGCAGAGCAGCCGCCGCAAGCGCTACCGCCCAGGACCGAGGCGCCGACGCCGCAGAGTCAGGCGCCACCGCTGCCGAGTAGAGCGCCGCCGCTGCCGAGTGAAGCGTCGCCGCTGCCAAGTGAAGCGTCGCCGCTGCTGACAGAAGCGCCACTGCCGACAGAGATGTCCTCCGACGAAGAACCAGTCGCCGGCAGAGGCAGGGGGAGAGGCCGGCAAGGTCGTGGTGGAGTCGGCGGCCGTTTGCGCGGTGAGACTCTCGCCAGCGGCTTGGATTTTTTTTTTAATGTTTAGTGTTTTTTTTAATGTTTAGTATTTTTTTTAATGTTTTGTTGCTTTGTTTTTGCAGTTCCTAGGCTTATGGATCCTTATTCTATGAGATTACCGCCGACGATAATTGATCCAGGTCCGGTCGATCCGACACTTCTTTGGCGACATGGTCAACATCGTATCGACTCTGTTTGGACAAACGAGGTAAGTATTTGATAATTATTCATGTAAAGTTAATTAGCTAATTAGATTATTTTAGTTGGTGAACTGAACTGTACTGAAATTAGAATAGGATTACGTATCAAATTTTTTGAAATTAGTATAATTTGATATTAGATTAGATAGATTAGAATTTATTAGGTGAAATTAGAATTATTACGAATGAAAATGAATTAATATAAAATTTGTGCACTATAGGCTGGTGATCGATCTTACCATGTTCGAGGTACGACCATTTTAGTGACGTACCATGAGCTTTATCGGCCATATCTCGAAGCGGCAGGCTTGTTAAGTGTCATGCCCCTAGTCCCTATGAACCCCGATGCGAGTTTGATTACTGCGCTCGTAAAGCGGTGGCAACCCGAGACGTCGACCTTCCATCTAACGTGTGGTGAGATCACGATCACGTTAGAGGACGTTGTTACACTGTCCGGTCTGACAATCGACGGTGATGCCGTCGTAGTTGATATACCGGATGAGGAGTGGTCGGTGATTTGTTTGAGACTGTTAGGACGGGTTCCGGCTGATCTTTCAGGCGGTGTCGATGTCGTTAGGATTGTTTGGCTGAGGGTTGAATTCAGTCATCTGCCGGAAAATGCATCACAGGAGGTTATAGAGCAGTTTGCACGAGCTTATGCTCTATCTCTGATTGGAGGTTTACTTTTCCCGGATCGGTCTGGAGCTATAGTGCACCTACAGTACCTACTTCTGATTGAGGATCGGCAGAGAGCTGGACGGTTCGCCTAGGGAGCTGCTGTTTTATCCTACCTGTACCGTGAGATGGGTAGGTCGACTTTGCACATTACGCATACCGGCACTTCTCTAGGCGGTGACCTTGGTGGATGGGTCGCCCTACTACAGTTCTGGGCGTGGGAGCGATTCCCACATCTGGCACCTCGAGATTCAGATACGAGGGCACATGCCACCGAGGATGCATCCCCACGCGGTCTTCGATGGCTTTCGGCCAACAGTCGTCAGTATGGTGACCAGCTATTCCAGTACAAGCTGTGGTTTGACGCGATTGACACCGTGGTGGTTAGTATATAACATTCCATTTTATAGAATAGTTTTCATTTGTTTTATTTTTTTAGATTTAGGGATAATAACGTTAATTTTTTTTTATGTAGTGGCAACCTTACCTTGAGAGAGCACTTCATCTCAGAGGTAGTGTGATACAGTCTGAGACATTTCGAGCAGTAGTGCCACTTATCTGCTTTTCATCGGTGATGTGGAATCATCCAGACCGCGTGCTCCGGGAGTTTGGCATGAGGCAGCATGAGCCTCATCCGCCACATCCTGAGGCTTATGTTAGGTTTTTTCTTCGCCAGGCTACTCGTAGGCCATCGCGTGGGCAGCTGCTGGTACACGCCTCCAGAGAGTCGCTTGCTTTCTGGAACCGTCGACACGAGTTTGTAGCGACGGCTCCATACACTAATGAGGAGTTAGCCTACCACTCGGAGCATATGGAGTGGTATACAGATGTCACCAGACGTTCCGGCACACGGAGAGGAGCTGCAGCGGAGGCATTGTTTAGTTATTTGATTTGTTTGCTTAATTTATAGTTAACTGTGCGAAATATCTGACTTTTTGTTGGTGTTTTTTAGTACGACACTATCGAGCATGCTGAGGTGAGTTTGCGTGATGGTGTACGGGCTGGAGGGCTGACTCCCGACCAGTGTGATGGCTTGGCCAACCTTATGGCATCCGGGGTTGCTACTCTAGGTTTTGAGCAGCGTAGATACCCTGATCTCACGGTACCTGTACAGCCCCATTATGATCAGCCCGTCATGACTGCCTGGCCAGAGCGTACTGATCCGACACCGGGCTGGGTCGTCCTAGAGCCACAGTTCAGACAGGAGCATAGGCCACTTAGACAGCGACGTGAGCATCGTGATGTACCTAACCCGTTCCGGGTTTCAGATGGACAACGAGCACAGCCCGTCCGGCCTACATCGAGGAGCTTCCAGTTTAATCCGCTTCAGTCGCAGTTTCAGTGAGATCCTTCCTTGAGCTTTCAGCTATCGCGACGGCAGCAGTTTCAGTCAGATCCGTCTTCGAGCTTTCAGCCGCCGCGATGGCAGCAGTTTCAGAAAGAGGATAGCTTCCATACACCGCAGCATGCTACGATGGGAAACATAGCCTCAGGTGGTGATACTAGAGCAGCCTCGTCTCCCGACCTGTGGGGAAACCTAGAGGGTGATGAGACGTTTCGGGAGACGATGTGGATTTATGAGCAGCATCTTCAGTCTCAGCAGCATGGTGGCGGTTAGCCTGAGGAGCATCTTCAGTCTCAGCAGGATGATATGTTCGGTACACAGGATCAGGATGGTGGTGTCGAGGAAGATGAGCCTCAGGAGTATGATGGTAGACCTCCATGTAACAGGATGCCTGCGAGGTGTGGTACTGGCGGCCATCTAGTGGTGGAGCATGGTGGTCGTGGTGGTGGTCGTGGTGGTGGTCGACGTGGTGGTCGTCAGTGAGACTATTATTTTTGGATTGTTATTATTATGTACTTCCTTATTTTTGGATTTTTATTATTATATACTTCCTTTAGACTATTATTTTTGGATTGTTATTATTATGTACTTCCTTTAGACTATTATTTTTGGATTGTTATTATTATGTACTTCCTTTAGACTATTATTTTTGGATTGTTATTATTATTATTAACGATAACAAAACATAACAACTACATACCAAACAACAACATCTTCAAACAAACAACAACTTCTACATGGTAAATCAAAAGAAATATAACAACTTCTACCACCTCTCAGCCATGTCTATTACCTCTACTTCCTCTTCTACCACCTCCCGCACTTCGTTGGCCACCACTCCCTTCTCGGTTGCTCCCACTCCCACTAGCTTAGCCACCGCAGGTTGATGCATTATGTCCGGCTTGGTTATAGTTGCTACACACTTGGTGTGATGCACCCTCCCTTGGCCAGTCCATCTCGTTGTGAATCCTTGTAACTCGTGGCCTCCCCGGCTTCCTAATCATGTGCACATTAGGATGGAGAATAGGACCATTATGCTTCTTCCAACCCTTAGGTTCACCAAGAGGTGCGAAACTTGTCCCATAACAAGCCATCACTGTTTCCAGCTTGTAGACATCGTTGACAAACCTATACGCATTAGCCCCCATTCGGTTGCAAGCTGCTGGCACGAGAGCAAAGAATTTTATTTCCTTGAAATTTACCATAGGTGCAAAATCCCACCCGGTTTTGATCGTCAAAGTGAACTGTGAGTGTGTTTGACCCCGTCATGTTGAAATTGTTGGGAGGATTCTGAACTACATAGATGCCTTGACGTCGATCAAGAGCTGTCACAGAATGCCCAATTGCCTTTTGTGACCACGCTTTCATCAGCTCTTCGCACTTGGTAGAGTACTGTGATCCGCCACTTCTAATTTCTGCTCCTGTCTCCAACCTGTACTTATCGAATTTCTCTACCAATCGCCAATAGGTATGTTGCACAAGAGAAGCTATAGGAAGTGCACGAATACCTTTGAAAACACCATTGATGCTTTCTGCCATGTTAGATGTCAGGATAGACCAACGACGCCCACCATTGTAGTTATCATATGCTAAACTCCAACGAATCTGATGTTGATCCACCCAGTTATCACATGAAATATTTCTATCAGCGGCCACCTTCTTAAATTGCTCAACTTGACGATCGAACTTCTCCAACCGTTTTTCTCCGGCTAACAAAATAAACCACCACACGGGTTAGATAAATTCATGACAAAATTACATGAAAATAAATAACAAAATTAAATGAAGAAAGCTTACCGACTCGAAATAGTTGCTTATACATAATTCTGCTTTTAGTCTTCCTTTGCAAATTGCTTGCATAGTGTCGCATGCACCACCTCCACTCCCAACCTCTTCCGATGTTATTCATGGCTTCATAGAGTCCTGCATGTCTATCTGAGATGATGTATACATCATTTCGATCAGTCAAACCTTGAAAGTTCCTCATGAACCATGGCGAACTCTCAGTATTCTCGCTCTCCACTATGGCAAATGCAATTGGAAAAATCTTCTTCCGACCATCAAATGAGCTCGCCATGAGTAGCACTCCTTTATACTTCCCAGTAAGAAATGTTCCATCAACAACCATGACGCCTGGACAATTCTTGAATCCATCTATACAAGGTCCATAAGCCCAGAATACTCGCTGAAATATTGAATGACCTGGTTGAGTCGAAGGAAATCTTACCCAATCAATCACCGATGTTGGCATTTTTCTCTTGACCACCCGCAAGAATGTTTGCGAAAAATCTTAGAATTCTTCCCAATTTCCATGCAACTTCTCCAATGCTCTTTGTTTCCCATACCAAGCCTTCTTGTAAGTAACTTGCATATTAAACTTATCTTTCAACTCGGCCTGAACAGTTAGAACACTCAGATTTGGTTGGGCACGTACCAAATGTTTGACGGCCTCAGATATCATGTCGACATCAAGATGACAATGATCCGTTGGTTGAGTCGTACTGCTACAAGAATGCACCAACTCAGCCTTTCTCACAGTCCATTCGCCTCCAATATCTCGGCATCCAAACCGCACCATCCAAGGACAATTGTCATCCTTGTGCCTCAAGCATCTGACCTTCCAGATTTAAGGTGGCGACTCCACCACGCCATATTGAAAGTTGCGTTGTAGTGCGTGGTGTTTAATCGCCATCTGTGCAGCTTGTTTCGAGTGAAATATCTGCCCCTTGTAGAATTCTCCTTCAAAACTATCAACAATAGGCATTGGAATTACACCATATGAATCAGCAAGTGATAATTCATCGTCCTCTTTATCACCCTGCAAGTAAAAATATGGAGGATAATTAGGCTGCTCTCCTTCTCCCTCTTCCTCCTCCTCCTCCTCCTCCTCCTCCTCATCTTCCTCCTCTCCGTCATCACCGTCATCATAGTCATTATCGGATGGCACGCTCCATGTATCATCTTCTTCCTCTCCACCCTGATCCTCACTGAGCTCAACATGTATCTCAGCACCCAAACAATAAGGATTTTGTGCCATAAAAGTCCAAATCACATTCAAGCTATCATCATCCACAATAGGTATTGCATAATGAAATAAAAGACCATTCTGCCATTCTGGAAGACGGTAAGTGAAACCTGTGATCACATCACTATCTTGTACTGCTTCGTCTCTGCGCCGTATTCTCGGAATTAGATTCTCACAAAGTTTGTGATATGTGACCCTGGATGGAACCGTCAACTAAAAACTACTACCACCAATGAATTTGACGCCCAAATTATCCTCTACTTTCTCCGATTTCCACCGAACGACTAGTTCAAATCTTCTAAAATCACTACATAAAAAAAAACAAACTCACTAATTAAAACTAAACACAATCATAATAGCATTTGAATAATATAATTACAAAAATAAATGTGTCTCTTACCTATTAGCCATTTTTGCAGCAGCAACCAGAGCTCTCTCCTCTATTTTGGACGATTTTTTTGTGGTGTGAATCTGAAACGAAATTGGCTGGGTTTTTATAAGGTGGGTGGCCAGCAATAAGCCAGCGGTGCCACCTTAGTCTTGGGCGCCACCGCCTGGGATGATTTCCCACCTACTCACCTAGGTCTCAGGCGGTGCCGCCTGAGTCTTGGGCGCCGCCGCTGTCAAATTAATAAAACGGTCCAAAAAACAAGCTAATGCGGCAGTAGGGATGTCAAAAATATCCGTAACCGTGGATATCCACCCGAATCCGGCCTAATTGGATAGGGTAAAACCCGAACCCGAAGGACATTTAGTGGGTACGGGTAAAACCCGAACCCGAATATTGTGGGTAATGGGTGCGCATGGGTTTCTAACTATCCAACCCGAACCCGCCCGATTATACGCATGCATATGTATTTTGTCTAGAAATAATTATTATTTTTCTCTAACATATTTTATATTTAGCATATAAATATAATATTTTCATGAAATTGTGTTGTTTTAGTTAATTTTCTTCATTCTAGTGAACTATTGTCGTACTTTTTCTTTTACGTAATGTGAGAATACGTGTGAATGTTAACATATTGGTTAGAGTTATGAAGATAAATTATTATCCATGGATAACCGTGGATACCCGAAACCCGAATGGGTATGGGCATGGTTTTAATTTTCTACCTGTTTCTCATGTGGGTATGGGTAAAACCCGAACTACTTTGGGTAGGGTAATGGATATGCATTATCCGTCCCCGACTCGACCCATTGCCATCCCTAAGCGGCAGCGCCTGAGTCTCAGGTGGTCTCGCCGATTCCTTTCTCCAAAACACAATATCTGTGTCAATACTTTTTAATCCGCCATATTGGTGGTAAATTAAAAGAAAAACAATATTTGTGTCATTCTTCCATAAGTCTACGTACATAAATTTACATTTCAATTTTTTTTTCATACTATTGAAGGAGTTCTAAAAGTATCAAAATTAAATGAGCTTTTTCAACGACGTCAAATATAAACCGACATTATTTAGCCACAACGATCTTGGGATTTTTCTATTTTTGATATTTTCTATTCACCGTGAAACTTATAAATTAAATTCCATGGGAAAGTAAAGCTAGTTAGGCGAAACGTTTATCACATCTTGGACTCAACTTTTTTGGCGAAACGTTTAAACCAAAATGGCAAGAAGAAAATTTACCTTCATTTTTCTTCACAAATTAATTCCCTCTATTAGGTTTTATCATTGGGTTCATATTTACCAAAAGTAAGATAGTCTAACGGTAAACAGCCACGCCACGACAGTGAAGGTTTGGGAGTTGCAGATTCCAGATTCGAATCCAAACGAGCCCCGTTAGTGTTCCCGGAGGTATAAGGTTCCTGGGGGCAAAACCCCGTTGGAGTCTAATTGAATGCAGGTGGGCCCCAAATTTAGTAGGACCTGCTGTCACAAAATGACACGTGGGGGCTGAGGTTCCTGGGTAATAAAAAAATCATCATTGGGTTCATATTTTCGCTGAAGGGCTACTTATTATTTTCACTAAAGCGGTATAATCTAAAGATTTTTTGAATTTAAAAAATATATTATTTGGAGGTTGAATGATTTTGATAGTCACTCCAAAAATGAGAAAGAAAAAGTGACAAATGGACAATCATCCATAATGCATGATTTTGGTTGTCAAAAAAAAAAAAAAAAACCATAATGAATGATTTTATTGATCTCATCTTTTGTTCAAATACAAGTAGTTCGTTTCATTTTAAGACAACAACAAAAAATTTAATAAATTCTCCTAATTGCATGTATTGCGCCTAAATACAACATCCGAAATCCTAACTTTCAAACGACCACGTAGTTCCTATTTCCTGTTATAGAATACAAGATTCCAGAATGAGATCTTCAAAAAATCAGAACTAGAAGACACTTTTATTAACCATAATGAAAATTAGATAATCATAACAATTGGCGAAAGCAGTATCACTGAAATCGTATCGGCGATAAAAAAAAATCTTATATCGAAGTTTAAACTAATGTATGATTTTTAGCAATATATACATTATTGAACCACAATTAAACCACGATATGTTGCTGACTTTTTTTCGATACATCATCATCCCCTACGATTTTACAATCTTTATCCGGAAACCAAGCTAATTAAACACTCTCTCTAGTCTATTTAAACGGCCGACGTAACCACATCTCCTTAATCACACAAAGAATCTTTCTTCAAGCACCAACAAATTAAACACAATGGCTTTCAAGGTTGAGATCACTTGTAGTGAATCGGTGAAACCGTCTTCTCCAACTCCCGACCACCGTCGAACCCACAACCTCACTCTCCTCGACCAGATCTCCCCCACCGTATACGTCCCGCTCTGCCTCTTCTTTCCCGGTCGTCGTGCTTCTTCCTACGACCAACAACATTGCTTCGCTGAAAGCCTCAGAGATTCCCTCTCAAACACACTCAACGTCTACTATCCGTTCGCCGGCCGGTACAAGGACACCCTCTCCATCGACTGCAACGACGCCGGCGTCGACTTCGTTCGAGCCCGCGTCGTTTGCGACATGTCCGAAGCGCTTCAACAGCAGTCGGTCGACGACGACCGTTTGCTTCCGTTGCTCGCGTGCCGTCCTCAGGAGAGGCGCGTGGATTCGGACGGCAAGCTGGTGCTTCTAGCCGTGCAGGTCAGCAACCGGTGAAAAACTCATATTTCGTCACTAGAAAAATTTGTAACGAATATCATTGACACGGTTGACACATATGTTTACAATTGACAACGTTATCCACTAACCGGTAACCGAAGTAACCAAACTTCGGTCGGTTATCGGAGGCTGGACGAAATGGTTTTGGTCTTAAAAGTGGTTCGGTTAACCGATAACCAAGATAACCGAGAAACCGAAGCCTATTTCGGTCGGTTTTCGGTAGAGGGGATGGTTATTTCGTTTAACCGATAACCGGCCGATCGGTTACCGGTTATAACCGAAATAACCGAACTGTCACCCCTAGATATATGAGTGCAAAATAACACTCTATTCAATTTTCTTTTATTTATTAATTTATTTTTCTTGATCGAGACATCTCCGAAAATTCTGGGTCCACTGCAGGTAAGCTTCTTTGAGTGCGGAGGAGTGAGCATCGGCGTGTGTGCGTGGCACGGCCTCTCAGACGCCTGCACGCTCGCCTGCTTCCTCAGAACGTGGAGCGGGTTTGCGATGAAAGTTATTGGACCCGGGGATGGAAACGACGTCGTGGTTCGAGATTGCACCGACATGATCCCTCCGAGAGACCTCTCTGTGGTGAGCGAATATATGGACATGTATCAAGTCGCGATGGCCACTCCCGGCACGAGAATCAAGAGGTGGGTTGGGTTGGGTGCGAATTTTGAAAAGGATGGGTTGAGTGTGATTTTTCCTTAAACCCGACAATTTTTCATGTGACTTGCACTCAGAAAATAAAACGAGGTCGTTTTGCTAACCTTAATAATATTTACGGATGTTGTTAGTTGCAATGGCGGACCCACATATGAGGGTCGCCCGAAATTTTTGTGAAGAACCCATATTTTTTTGGTATAAAAAATTCGAATATGGGATCTCCGACACACCATCGATCATAACCGACACACTTTATTATATTACAAATTTTTTGTGGTCATAATGTTATTAAAATGTGTAAATATAGGAGTTATCGGACTTCAGACTAGGTAGTTAATTAGTTGGTTGTACAAGAGGTAAACAATTAATTAGCTACTTAGTATGTAGTGAGTATTCATAGAGATTTCTATCACCTAAGAGATAACCTTAGTAATTTAATGAGAATTAAATTGATTTATAAGCTGGCTGAGTCAAATAATTAGATTGTGAATTCCATGTTGTCTTTCGCCTTAGCTTCTTCAATAGGTTTTTTCTTTAAGTTAATTGCCAACATGCTTTCTAGTTTAGTTATTACTTTCCACGTTAATGCCTGTCGACACCCTCCAATTGTCTGTGTCGGCAACATCCTCATTCTAATTCAAATTTTCACGTTGACGCTTGTGCCTACCCTTTGAGCTTCCTATTCCAACTTTTCCATATTAAATTAGTGTTGACTTTACCTCTTGAAACTGCAAGCTCCCAAATGACATTTCTCGTATAACAGCTTAATCAAGAATGTTATTTGGTATCATTTGAGTTACCAATTTATGAATAATTGTTTAGTTGTTTACATAAAAAAAGGTTTGATTTGCAACCTAATGGACAAAATGTAATTAATAAATCTTTCAAAAATTCGTCATGGTTCACTATAAAATACAATGAAATTGATGATTTTGATGAATAAAATTTTTTATTATTTTTAATTACTTTAATTATTATTTAATTTTTTTATGGACAGACACACCTATCCCAAAATCCTGGGTCCGTCACTTATTATTTCGCCATATTATTCTAATAACATAAATAATTTATTGGTGTTCTTCGTCTTTATGAAAATATATTTATAGAAAAAAAAATTATATCATTTTATGATGCGGGTGAATCCATATTTACTTACACTCGTGGGTTGGGTTAAGTTTTCATTTCCAAAAGCAAATAAATATTTTTACTGCATCTTTTGAAGGAGGCACCTGCTAGGTTGAACTTGGGTTCAGAAAAAGTGAATTGAGGTCGTTTTGTGAACCTTAATAATATTTATGGGTGTTGTTAGTTTTATGACCTTATAATCCTAATAATGTAAATAACTTATGAGTGATGTTTGTCTTTAAAAAGATATACTAACAATAAAATTTTCGACGATATCACGAAATGGGCGTATCAATGGGTATCCATGTACTTGTGGGTTTCCGTTGAATTGGGTTGAGTTTCCTTATTTAAAAAATTTAGATATTTTTACTGAATTTTTTAACAAATATACTTGTTATAGGTTTGGATTTGAGGAAACTCACTCCGTTATTATCCCTGATTAGGTTGCCTTGTGTGAGCACTTTCACTATGCATTAAACTATTGGTGCCTTATAGTACAATTTGAAGTTCTACTATATCGTTAAAGCAAAAATAAAAGTTGTACCATAAGAGAATTTGACATTTATGTTATGGTACAACTTGAAGTTGTACCATTAAATAAATGTACAACTTGATTTTGTACCATAACATACCGTTTGGTACCAAATGAATCTTGAATTCATTTCATTGTAAAATGAATTACCCTATAGAATTCATTGTCAAATGAAATCATGTGTTTGGTATGTCATATTCAAATCTTTAAAAATATAATGAATTGTCATGTACAATTCATTATCAAATGAATTCCTAAGTTTGGTATGTCATATATATAAGTAATTTAGTGAATAAAGAGGATAATTATGTTATTCCATTATAATTACTAAATAGTTGGGGAATTCATTTGGAAATTCCATCTCAAGTCCTCGGAATTGCTATAACTAGTACCAATTCCATAGAATTCAAAATCTAGAATTCAAAATGAATTCTTTTAAATACCAAACACAAAAATGTTTCATTTCAAAATGAATTCCGCAAAACTTATGGAATTCATTTATACCAAACGGTATGTAAGAGATTTTACAAAATAATATTGGTACAACCCGAAATTGTACCATAACGTTAAATGTATAACTCCAAATTGTACCAAATAACACACCAATGCTTTAAATCATTGTAAAATTCAAACTGCCTATGTGTTGCTTCTTGCAACAATGTGTTTTTTTTTTTTTTTACCTTCCTAGCCATTGGTCATATTCTTTGGGTAAATGTCATTTTATGAATTCTTTCGTTGAAGAAGAAAAAAATGGGGCATTTTGTAGGTTCGTTTTCGGGAGGGACGAAGTAGCGGCTCTTCGACGGGACATCGAGGCCGCGAGCCGCGTGCAGGCGGTGTCGGCGGTCATTTGGGCGGCGGCGATCAGGATCGCACGAGACAAGAACGTCGTCGACGGTGGTGGATGTCACTTCGCCGCAATGACGGTCAACTTGAGGCCGAGGATGAAGCCGGCCCTGCCGGAGCAAGTGATGGGGAGCCTCGCAAAACTCCCGGTTTTGGCCGCATGGCCGGTGGAGATGAGTGAGGACGAGAAGAACGACGGCTGCTACTACTACGGCGCTGTGGCGGGGAAGCTGAGGGAGTCGTTGGAGATGGTGACCGACGAGAAAATGAGGAATGCAGTACTGGGGAGTAGTGATCAGTTTTGGGACGCGCTGAGGTACTCCGTGGAGAAGTTCGCCGGAGGGAATCTGTTGACGATAAGCAGCTGGTGCAGGTTCCCGTTCTACGAGGTGGATTTCGGGTTGGGGAAGCCGGCTTGGATGTGCTTCTTCACCATGTGTTACAATCTTGTGGTGCTGTTGGATGCCGAGGATGGGGAAGGGATTGAAGCGTGGGTTACGTTGAGTGAGGAGGACATGTCGAAATTCGAGAAGGATATTGGAGTGCTGAAATATGCTACTTGCTCCAAGAGTGTGGGGGTGTGCGGCTTCTCGAATCCGAGTTAAATTAACGCCGCATCGATTGGGTATAGAGCGAGTATGGATGATATCTAGAGAAAAATAATGATTGAAGTGGATTAGAGATTGGTTCAGATGTCTCTGCTCCGGCCTATCGTGACTTCTGAAATCCACCGTGCGCGCGTATGTAATTCATGTACGTAACTACATGCAAACAATTTATATTACATGTGATATGAGCTTTTTTCGATCTTCCAATAACCACCACAAAGTTTGAAAGTAATATAATTTTATACTCCTTCATTTCGCTTTTTCAATTCAATCAAGATGTATTTGTGTTATGTTTCCTGTACTTTTTGTGGCTTGTTTGTATTATATATATGATTAGGGGTTGTTATTCGGTTCGATTCGGTTATAACAAGAACCGATTGGTCAACTCTCAGTTAACCTTTTAGCACTTGGGGCATGCCGTTAACCGGACCGTTAATATTAGTCAGTTAACCGGAATCGTATAGCCAGTTCTCGATTATTTTTTCAGTTAACCTTATAATCATTAAACAAATGTTTCGGCACGAAAAGACAAAAACAATTATCGGCAACTGAACCAAGAAAATATCTCATTATTTCAATTGTACATTTGTTGTTATTTTTTTCATACATACATGTGTTCTTTTTTACAATTTTTTTTTATCACTGAATCAAAACAACTTTACATCCATATACCATCCAAATTAAATGCTTATCCAACACAGATACACAATAACACAACTTCATTAATTAGCAAAGCACCAACTAAACATTAAGCACAAAAAGTCAAGCATCAACAACACACCATGGTCTAAAAATATTAAGGAGACAAGAGCAAGGCACAAACTAAACAAATAAGTACGAAACTGTAATTGTCTAATCCATAAGTAACTCCATCCAACATAAGTACACAATAACACCAAAGTTCACAATCCAAAAAAAAATTCTTCAGAGACTAAAATATAAATTCAACTCCAAAATCACCAAGTTACCAACATTAACATGACAATATCATGATCTAGTTTCTCCATCTCCACCAACATCTGCATAACCCTCCTTTTTCAAAGCATTCAAAAGATCTTAGACCATAATCATAATCATGATCATCAGGGTTAGTTTATTTCTTCTCCATCACGACCAACTTTTTTTTTTATAATGGCGAAGGCTTTAAGTAACTGAAAAGAACTGACAAAGAGGTTCAGAACAAAAAAGGATCAAGAGATATGATCCCCACAAAACCGAAGGACACAAAGAAAAACAAAAGATCAGACATCTACTTAACAGAAAAAACTCATGTGCAAAATCCGTAGAATTCATAGTGATCAAGGTGCAGAATTCACCATGAAATATTTTTATTCCCAAAAACGCATTATACATGAGATGTCCTGTGTTGAAATACTAGAACAGAACTCCAAAGTGGAAAGAAAACATCAACACATCTTAGCAATAGCAAGAGCTTTGAAGTTCCAAGCTAACCTGCCTATTGAATTCTGGTCTGATTGTGTTAAGCATGCAGTATTCCTCATAAACAGAATCCCTTCTCAAGTTTTGAAGAACACATCACCCTATGAATTGTTTCATGAAAAGCCCCCAGATCTCAGTTTTCTTAGAGTGTTTGGATGTCTTTGTTTTGCCTCTACACTTCCAAGCACTCGCACCAAATTTTCTCCTAGATCTCGAAAATGCATCTTCTTAGGATATACTTATGGAGTCAAAGGGTACAGACTTTATGACTTGGACAATCATGAAGTATTTCTCTCCAGAAATGTTCTTTTCCATGAGTCCATTTTTCCTTTTGCAATGACTTCCAATCCTTCTCCTGGAAGCATTGAATCACCACATGTTCCTCCCATATCAGCTGCTTCTGCTGATGATCCTGATTATGTTCCTTCACCTGTCACTCCTGTTGTCTCTACTCCACGAGATGATGAGTCTTCAGACTCCTCTGACAGTGATAGCAACACAGAAAGTCCCCCACCAGTTCCTCCTCTCATTTATCATGCACCTTCTCCTCCTGAACCCACTAGAGTCTTACCTCCCAGAATCATCAAACCTCCTAGCCACTTGAGCCAATATGATTGTGAGCACTTGGTTAACCGCATGCAATTATTTGCATCCAATACATGTCCAGCTATTACAAGTAAGAGGTACCCTATTCAATCCTTCCTCTCATATACTAAGCTGTCTCCTTCCCACAGACATTTTGTTATGTCCATTTCTGCTCATACAGAACCAAAAACCTATGCACAAGCTTCCCAAGATGAAGTTTGGAATGCTGCTATGAAACAGGAGAGGATGGCTTTGGAAAAGAATGGAACTTGGACAGTTGTCTCTCTTCCTAAAGGAAAGAAGAAAATAGGATGCAAATGGGTATATAAGATCAAATTCCTCTCTACTGGTGCCATTGAAAGACACAAGGCCAGGTTGGTAGCCAAGGGCTACACACAGAGGGAAGGAATAGATTTTATTGACACCTTTGCACCTGTTGTTAAAATGACTACTGTCAGGTTGTTCTTAGCAATTGCAGCAGCCAGAAATTGGTTCCTTCATCAGCTGGACATCAACAACGCATTCCTCTATGGAGATTTAAAGGAGGAAGTGTATATGGCCTTACCTCCTGGCATGGAAGCACCACCTGGTATCCCCAACCCTGTTTGCAAACTGCATAAATCCCTTTATGGTTTGAAGCAGGCCTCACGCCAGTGGTTTTCAAAGCTCTCTGACAGCTTGATTCAGGAAGGTTACACCCCTAGTCTAGCAGATCACTCCTTGTTCACTCGTGTCACTTCTACCTCCTACACAGCCATCTTGGTTTATGTAGATGATTTAATAGTGGGGGAGAATGATGGTGCAGAGATCACCAGAATCAAGCAACATCTTCACCATACCTTCAGCATCAAGGACCTTGGTTGTTTGAAATACTTCCTTGGCCTGGAAGTTGCTCGCAGTGACAAGGGCATTCATCTTTCCCAGAGAAAGTATGCCCTGGAGCTCCTAGATGATGCATGCCACCTTGGTGTTAAACCTGTCACTACCCCAATGGACTACAAGACACATTTGAGTTCCAAAGATGATTCAGCTAAGGTGGATGCTACTGCTTACCGCAGTCTTGTTGGGAAGCTGATTTATTTGACCACCACAAGGCCAGATATTAGTTTTGCCACGCAACAAGTTAGCCAGTTCATGGGAGAGCCCTCTGTCCTGCACAAGAAAGCTGTCACAAGGATCCTCAGGTACATCAAACGTGCTCCTGGTCATGGTCTCTTCTTTCCTGCTGCATCCACCATGTCTCTGCAGGCTTTCAGTGACTCAGATTGGGGGGCCTGCCCAGACACTCGTCAATCTGTTATAGAATATTGCATCTTTTTTGGCAAATCCCTCATTTCCTGGAAATCAAAAAAGCAGACCACAGTCTCCCGTTCCTCCTGTGAAGCCGAATATCGAGCACTAGCCTACACAACCTGTGAAATCCAGTGGCTCCTCTACCTTCTTGCTGACTTCAAGGTTCCTCATCCCAATCCCGTGAGTTTTACTATGACAATCAATCTGCTGTGTATATTGCAGAAAATCCAACTTTCCATGAGCGAACCAAGCACATAGAGCTTGATTGTCACTTGGTCCGAGAGAAATTCCAAGCAGGCATCATCAAAGTTCTTCATGTACGTTCTGATAATCAGTTGGCGGACATCTTCACCAAACCTTTGTCCCCTGGTTCGTTTTCTTCTCTTCTCTCCAAGCTAGGAGTCATCAACCTATGCCCTCCTGCTTGTGGGGGGGGGGGGGGGGGTAACAGAAGAAACATGAGTTTTTTCTTCATCTCCAAGCTACTCACATGGACCAGAAGTGAAACGCTCCGTTACCTCAGCGAACGCCACCGTTTCATCTCAGCAGTTACGTTACCTCAGCGAACGCCACCGTTTCATCTCAGCAGTTAGGATCGCCCAGGACGTGTGTCTCTCTGTCATTGGTGACGAATGCACCAATAGGACAACTTGCTTTCTAACGGTCGACAGCGACCAGTTTCACTGTCTTGTCTTCTTCCGTTTTCACTGTTTGTCTTTCACTTTCTGTTACCCAGCACACCTGGATTTGTATTTGCTCGGACTATATATGAATCAATGAGAAGAAGGGTGGAGGTAAGTTGATTCCTCAAACCCTAGAACCACCAAAACGTTGTTATCACGGGCCAGAGGGACAAATCAGCTATACTTGGAACCAGACGAAGCTCCCTGCAGGCAATAATCCATCAAAGAATGTGCAGGTTGAGGTGCTCAACTTCATCAAGGATATGTTGCACCGGCTGCCCAAGGTCTACAAAGATGACTGCGCTATGGGCACTTTCGACGGCACTACTGGCGGCTACGGTCAAGACAGTAGCGGAAGCGACATCTTCGTCTTCGTGGGGTGTAAGAGTAGCATCGAGGTCGAAGAATGCCGGAATTGCGTGGGGAACACCACCGATGGGGTAGGGGCTCAGGGCTCGAGCCGGGACTGTTGTGTTCGGTACGAGACCTACGATTTCTGTTGAGATATTTCGATCGAAACGTTCGTGATCTTTTTGTTGTGATCACGTTTCTTGGGAAAAATCGTCGGTCCAAAAAGAGAAAAATCGTCGGTCCAAAAGAGAAAAATAGAACTCCGTCACCAAAGCTTACTCTGACTTGACAGAAGGAGTAATACTAAAAAAATATGAACTTCTTCAAGTCCAAGTTGTAGCATTGAGTCTTCTTCAGTTACGGCTTTTGAACAAAGAAAAGAAAATCTCAAGTGAGCTTAACTGCATAAGAATATTATTTTTTTTAGTAATACCACTAGAAATACCAACTTTAGCGAAAGTGTCATATATGTTACGTAATTTTGGATGTGTCATTTGTGTTACGACGTTTGTGTTCCGTTATTTTTTCATTAGAATTTGACCAAAAACCCAGTCAACGATGATGTGAAAGCTGACCTGACAAAAAAAATAATAATAATAAAAGCACAACTTTGACCACGTTCAGACATATACTCATCCCCTTCACAAAATCCATTGGTGTCACTGCCTCCCTTTCCTCGACAAAGAGAACCCATAAATGAAACCTAACTTTTGATGAATTATTGCAGCCTGGGATCGTAGGGAGAGATGGGTATCGAGGTTGCCCAGGCGGTGGTGTCTGAGTCGGCGGCGTCTCTGCTTCACGTCCAGGCTCCGATGGTTACGAGAGAGAGAGAGAGAGACGAGGAAAACGATGGATCAAATAACCAAGCTGCGGAGGAAAAATTACTCAGAATATATTAAATAATTAATTATTTAAATTATTATTATTGTTTTTC